TTGTATAATGCTTCTTTCAGCACTGTTGGTTCTTTTGTCGTGCCCAGCTCTGAATGGTGGATGGAGCCAGAGTGCACGGAGGGAACAATGACCTTAGGAAGGAAACAGTGGCAGATATTTCTGCACTCAAAAATGGACTGGAGAAGTCCCGATTACCATAATGCTACTTTCAGCACTATTGGTTCTATAGTCGTGCCAACTCTTAATGGTCCCCTTAAATGGACTGGAGAAGTCTAAATTACCATATTTTAGCACTAATTTAGTTCTTTTGCTGTGCTCAGCTCTGAATGGCGGAAGAAGCTGTGTTGCATTACCGTCTCCTTAAATGGACTGGAGAAGTCCAGATTACAATATTTCTATTGCCCAGTAATCCTTGTGGTAAATGAACTATATTTTCAAAATTAAAGATTAAAAGGTTTCCAGATCTATTTTGTTTTTTTAATATGGCAAATCTAATAATAAATTTAATTCAAATTTTGAATAACTCAAATGTTTACATTACACAAACTTTCTGCAGTATCAGATACATTTTTTTCCATACTTTTTTTTTTTTTTTTTTCTTTTTTCTTAAATATACTGCAGCGCCAACAAAAGATGTGCAATGTAAAGAAATGAGTTATTGTTTGAAACATCAAAAATGTTAAAGTTTCGGGCAATTTTTTTATTTGAATTTTCAGATCTCGAGACAATTTTTATTAAGGATGCATGATCAAGTTCAGATAAATTTTTGTTTTTCAAATAATTTTAACTGGTATAATTAAGATGGCTTAGACTTTAGTATGTCATAGTTATTGAAAACTGATTGATTGATTGATGGTGTTTAATGCTAATTTCAGCACTATTGGTTCTTTTGTTGTGCGCAGCTCTGAATGGTGGAACAAGCTGTGTTGCATTACCGTCCCCTTAAATGGACTCGAAAAGTCTGGATTACCATATTTCTATTGTTGTATAATGCTACTTTCAGCACTATTGGTTCTTTTGTCGTGCCCAGCTCTGAATGGTGGATGGAGCCAGAGTGCACGGAGGGAACAATGACCTTAGGAAGGAAACAGTGGCAGATATTTCTGCACTCAAAAATGGACTGGAGAAGTCCCGATTACCATAATGCTACTTTCAGCACTATTGGTTCTATAGTCGTGCCAACTCTTAATGGTCCCCTTAAATGGACTGGAGAAGTCTTGATTACCATATTTTAGCACTAATTTAGTTCTTTTGCTGTGCTCAGCTCTGAATGGCGGAAGAAGCTGTGTTGCATTACCGTCTCCTTAAATGGACTGGAAAAGTCAAGATTACAATATTTCTATTGCCCAGTAATCCTTGTGGTAAATGAACTATATTTTCAAAATTAAAGATTAAAAGGTTTCCAGATCTATTTTGTTTTTCTAATATGGCAAATCTAATAATAAATTTAATTCAAATTTTGAATAACTCAAATGTTTACATTACACAAACTTTCTGCAGTATCAGATACATTTTTTTCCATACTTTTTTTTTTTTTTTTTTTCTTTTTTCTTAAATATACTGCAGCGCCAACAAAAGATGTGCAATGTACAGAAATGAGTTATTGTTTGAAACATCAAAAATGTTAAAGTTTCGGGCAATTTTTTTATTTGAATTTTCAGATCTGGAGACAATTTTTATTAAGAATGCATGATCAAGTTCAGATAAATTTTTGTTTTTCAAATAATTTTAACTGGTATAATTAAGATGGCTTAGACTTTAGTATGTCATAGTTATTGAAGACTGATTGATTGATTGTTGGTGTTTAATGCTAATTTCAGCACTATTGGTTCTTTTGTTGTGCGCAGCTCTGAATGGTGGAACAAGCTGTGTTGCATTACCGTCCCCTTAAATGGACTCGAAAAGTCTGGATTACCATATTTCTATTGTTGTATAATGCTACTTTCAGCACTGTTGGTTCTTTTGTCGTGCCCAGCTCTGAATGGTGGATGGAGCCAGAGTGCACTGAGGGAACAATGACCTTAGGAAGGAAACAGTGGCAGATATTTCTGCACTCAAAAATGGACTGGAGAAGTCCCGATTACCATAATGCTACTTTCAGCACTATTGGTTCTATAGTCGTGCCAACTCTGAATGGTCCCCTTAAATGGACTGGAGAAGTCTTGATTACCATATTTTAGCACTAATTTAGTTCTTTTGCTGTGCTCAGCTCTGAATGGCGGAAGAAGCTGTGTTGCATTACCGTCTCCTTAAATGGACTGGAGAAGTCCAGATTACAATATTTCTATTGCCCAGTAATCCTTGTGGTAAATGAACTATATTTTCAAAATTAAAGATTAAAAGGTTTCGAGATCTATTTTGTTTTTTTAATATGGCAAATCTAATAATAAATTTAATTCAAATTTTGAATAACTCAAATGTTTACATTACACAAACTTTCTGCAGTATCAGATACATTTTTTTCCATACTTTTTTTTTTTTTTTTTTTTCTTTTTTCTTAAATATACTGCAGCGCCAACAAAAGATGTGCAATGTAAAGAAATGAGTTATTGTTTGAAACATCAAAAATGTTAAAGTTTTGGGCAATTTTTTTATTTGAATTTTCAGATCTCGAGACAATTTTTATCAAGAATGCATGATCAAGTTCAGATAAATTTTTGTTTTTCAAATAATTTTAACTGGTATAATTAAGATGGCTTAGACTTTAGTATGTCATAGTTATTGAAGACTGATTGATTGATTGATGGTGTTTAATGCTAATTTCAGCACTATTGGTTCTTTTGTTGTGCGCAGCTCTGAATGGTGGAACAAGCTGTGTTGCATTACCGTCCCCTTAAATGGACTCGAAAAGTCTGGATTACCATATTTCTATTGTTGTATAATGCTTCTTTCAGCACTGTTGGTTCTCTTGTCGTGCCCAGCTCTGAATGGTGGATGGAGCCAGAGTGCACGGAGGGAACAATGACCTTAGGAAGGAAACAGTGGCAGATATTTCTGCACTCAAAAATGGACTGGAGAAGTCCCGATTACCATAATGCTACTTTCAGCACTATTGGTTCTATAGTCGTGCCAACTCTTAATGGTCCCCTTAAATGGACTGGAGAAGTCTAAATTACCATATTTTAGCACTAATTTAGTTCTTTTGCTGTGCTCAGCTCTGACTGGCGGAAGAAGCTGTGTTGCATTACCGTCTCCTTAAATGGACTGGAGAAGTCCAGATTACAATATTTCTATTGCCCAGTAATCCTTGTGGTAAATGAACTATATTTTCAAAATTAAAGATTAAAAGGTTTCCAGATCTATTTTGTTTTTCTAATATGGCAAATCTAATAATAAATTTAATTCAAATTTTGAATAACTCAAATGTTTACATTACACAAACTTTCTGCAGTATCAGATACCCGTGTAAAATAATTAATTTAAACTTTTGTACCACGACTTTCTGTCCGTTTACCAATACTTATTCCTTGTTAGGTTTTTTCATATCCATTTACGAATACTTATAATGTGATAATTTTCGGAAGCTTTTATCCTATTTTCATATCAAACAACCATGGGTACATTTTTTTCCATACTTTTTTTTTTTTTTTTTTTCTTTTTTCTTAAATATACTGCAGCGCCAACAAAAGATGTGCAATGTAAAGAAATGAGTTATTGTTTGAAACATCAAAAATGTTAAAGTTTCGGGCAATTTTTTTATTTGAATTTTCAGATCTCGAGACAATTTTTATTAAGAATGCATGATCAAGTTCAGATAAATTTTTGTTTTTCAAATAATTTTAACTGGTATAATTAAGATGGCTTAGACTTTAGTATGTCATAGTTATTGAAGACTGATTGATTGATTGATGGTGTTTAATGCTAATTTCAGCACTATTGGTTCTTTTGTTGTGCGCAGCTCTGAATGGTGGAACAAGCTGTGTTGCATTACCGTCCCCTTAAATGGACTCGAAAAGTCTGGATTACCATATTTCTATTGTTGTATAATGCTACTTTCAGCACTGTTGGTTCTTTTGTCGTGCCCAGCTCTGAATGGTGGATGGAGCCAGAGTGCACGGAGGGAACAATGACCTTAGGAAGGAAACAGTGGCAGATATTTCTGCACTCAAAAATGGACTGGAGAAGTCCCGATTACCATAATGCTACTTTCAGCACTATTGGTTCTATAGTCGTGCCAACTCTTAATGGTCCCCTTAAATGGACTGGAGAAGTCTTGATTACCATATTTTAGCACTAATTTAGTTCTTTTGCTGTGCTCAGCTCTGAATGGCGGAAGAAGCTGTGTTGCATTACCGTCTCCTTAAATGGACCGGAGAAGTCCAGATTACAATATTTCTATTGCCCAGTAATCCTTGTGGTAAATGAACTATATTTTCAAAATTAAAGATTAAACGGTTTCGAGATCTATTTTGTTTTTTTAATATGGCAAATCTAATAATAAATTTAATTCAAATTTTGAATAACTCAAATGTTTACATTACACAAACTTTCTGCAGTATCAGATACATTTTTTTCCATACTTTTTTTTTTTTTTTTTTTCTTTTTTCTTAAATATACTGCAGCGCCAACAAAAGATGTGCAATGTAAAGAAATGAGTTATTGTTTGAAACATCAAAAATGTTAAAGTTTCGGGCAATTTTTTTATTTGAATTTTCAGATCTCGAGACAATTTTTATTAAGAATGCATGATCAAGTTCAGATAAATTTTTGTTTTTCAAATAATTTTAACTGGTATAATTAAGATGGCTTAGACTTTAGTATGTCATAGTTATTGAAGACTGATTGATTGATTGTTGGTGTTTAATGCTAATTTCAGCACTATTGGTTCTTTTGTTGTGCGCAGCTCTGAATGGTGGAACAAGCTGTGTTGCATTACCGTCCCCTTAAATGGACTCGAAAAGTCTGGATTACCATATTTCTATTGTTGTATAATGCTACTTTCAGCACTCTTGGTTCTTTTGTCGTGCCCAGCTCTGAATGGTGGATGGAGCCAGAGTGCACTGAGGGAACAATGACCTTAGGAAGGAAACAGGGGCAGATATTTCTGCACTCAAAAATGGACTGGAGAAGTCCCGATTACCATAATGCTACTTTCAGCACTATTGGTTCTATAGTCGTGCCAACTCTTAATGGTCCCCTTAAATGGACTGGAGAAGTCTTGATTACCATATTTTAGCACTAATTTAGTTCTTTTGCTGTGCTCAGCTCTGAATGGCGGAAGAAGCTGTGTTGCATTACCGTCTCCTTAAATGGACTGGAGAAGTCCAGATTACAATATTTCTATTGCCCAGTAATCCTTGTGGTAAATGAACTATATTTTCAAAATTAAAGATTAAAAGGTTTCAAGATCTATTTTGTTTTTCTAATATGGCAAATCTAATAATAAATTTAATTCAAATTTTGAATAACTCAAATGTTTACATTACACAAACTTTCTGCAGTATCAGATACATTTTTTTCCATACTTTTTTTTTTTTTTTTTTCTTTTTTCTTAAATATACTGCAGCGCCAACAAAAGATGTGCAATGTAAAGAAATGAGTTATTGTTTGAAACATCAAAAATGTTAAAGTTTCGGGCAATTTTTTTATTTGAATTTTCAGATCTCGAGACAATTTTTATTAAGAATGCATGATCAAGTTCAGATAAATTTTTGTTTTTCAAATAATTTTAACTGGTATAATTAAGATGGCTTAGACTTTAGTATGTCATAGTTATTGAAGACTGATTGATTGATTGATAGTGTTTAATGCTAATTTCAGCACTATTGGTTCTTTTGTTGTGCGCAGCTCTGAATGGTGGAACAAGCTGTGTTGCATTACCGTCCCCTTAAATGGACTCGAAAAGTCTGGATTACCATATTTCTATTGTTGTATAATGCTACTTTCAGCACTATTGGTTCTTTTGTCGTGCCCAGCTCTGAATGGTGGATGGAGCCAGAGTGCACGGAGGGAACAATGACCTTAGGAAGGAAACAGTGGCAGATATTTCTGCACTCAAAAATGGACTGGAGAAGTCCCGATTACCATAATGCTACTTTCAGCACTATTGGTTCTATAGTCGTGCCAACTCTTAATGGTCCCCTTAAATGGACTGGAGAAGTCTTGATTACCATATTTTAGCACTAATTTAGTTCTTTTGCTGTGCTCAGCTCTGAATGGCGGAAGAAGTTGTGTTGCATTACCGTCTCCTTAAATGGACTGGAGAAGTCCAGATTACAATATTTCTATTGCCCAGTAATCCTTGTGGTAAATGAACTATATTTTCAAAATTAAAGATTAAAAGGTTTCCAGATCTATTTTGTTTTTCTAATATGGCAAATCTAATAATAAATTTAATTCAAATTTTGAATAACTCAAATGTTTACATTACACAAACTTTCTGCAGTATCAGATACATTTTTTTCCATACTTTTTTTTTTTTTTTTTTTTTCTTTTTTCTTAAATATACTGCAGCGCCAAGAAAAGATGTGCAATGTAAAGAAATGAGTTATTGTTTGAAACATCAAAAATGTTAAAGTTTCGGGCAATTTTTTTATTTGAATTTTCAGATCTCGAGACAATTTTTATTAAGAATGCATGATCAAGTTCAGATAAATTTTTGTTTTTCAAATAATTTTAACTGGTATAATTAAGATGGCTTAGACTTTAGTATGTCATAGTTATTGAAGACTGATTGATTGATTGTTGGTGTTTAATGCTAATTTCAGCACTATTGGTTCTTTTGTTGTGCGCAGCTCTGAATGGTGGAACAAGCTGTGTTGCATTACCGTCCCCTTAAATGGACTCGAAAAGTCTGGATTACCATATTTCTATTGTTGTATAATGCTACTTTCAGCACTGTTGGTTCTTTTGTTGTGCCCAGCTCTGAATGGTGGATGGAGCCAGAGTGCACTGAGGGAACAATGACCTTAGGAAGGAAACAGTGGCAGATATTTCTGCACTCAAAAATGGACTGGAGAAGTCCCGATTACCATAATGCTACTTTCAGCACTATTGGTTCTATAGTCGTGCCAACTCTTAATGGTCCCCTTAAATGGACTGGAGAAGTCTTGATTACCATATTTTAGCACTAATTTAGTTCTTTTGCTGTGCTCAGCTCTGAATGGCGGAAGAAGCTGTGTTGCATTACCGTCTCCTTAAATGGACTGGAGAAGTCCAGATTACAATATTTCTATTGCCCAGTAATCCTTGTGGTAAATGAACTATATTTTCAAAATTAAAGATTAAAAGGTTTCCAGATCTATTTTGTTTTTCTAATATGGCAAATCTAATAATAAATTTAATTCAAATTTTGAATAACTCAAATGTTTACATTACACAAACTTTCTGCAGTATCAGATACATTTTTTTCCATAGTTTTTTTTTTTTTTTTTTTCTTTTTTCTTAAATATACTGCAGCGCCAACAAAAGATGTGCAATGTAAAGAAATGAGTTATTGTTTGAAACATCAAAAATGTTAAAGTTTCGGGCAATTTTTTTATTTGAATTTTCAGATCTCGAGACAATTTTTATTAAGAATGCATGATCAAGTTCAGATAAATTTTTGTTTTTCAAATAATTTTAACTGGTATAATTAAGATGGCTTAGACTTTAGTATGTCATAGTTATTGAAGACTGATTGATTGATTGTTGGTGTTTAATGCTAATTTCAGCACTTTTGGTTCTTTTGTTGTGCGCAGCTCTGAATGGTGGAACAAGCTGTGTTGCATTACCGTCCCCTTAAATGGACTCGAAAAGTCTGGATTACCATATTTCTATTGTTGTATAATGCTACTTTCAGCACTATTGGTTCTTTTGTCGTGCCCAGCTCTGAATGGTGGATGGAGCCAGAGTGCACGGAGGGAACAATGACCTTAGGAAGGAAACAGTGGCAGATATTTCTGCACTCAAAAATGGACTGGAGAAGTCCCGATTACCATAATGCTACTTTCAGCACTATTGGTTCTATAGTCGTGCCAACTCTTAATGGTCCCCTTAAATGGACTGGAGAAGTCTTGATTACCATATTTTAGAACCAATTTAGTTCTTTTGCTGTGCTCAGCTCTGAATGGCGGAAGAAGCTGTGTTGCATTACCGTCTCCTTAAATGGACTGGAGAAGTCCAGATTACAATATTTCTATTGCCCAGTAATCCTTGTGGTAAATGAACTATATTTTCAAAATTAAAGATTAAAAGGTTTCGAGATCTATTTTGTTTTTCTAATATGGCAAATCTAATAATAAATTTAATTCAAATTTTGAATAACTCAAATGTTTACATTACACAAACTTTCTGCAGTATCAGATACATTTTTTTCCATACTTTTTTTTTTTTTTTTTTTCTTTTTTCTTAAATATACTGCAGCGCCAACAAAAGATGTGCAATGTAAAGAAATGAGTTATTGTTTGAAACATCAAAAATGTTAAAGTTTCGGGCAATTTTTTTATTTGAATTTTCAGATCTTGAGACAATTTTTATTAAGAATGCATGATCAAGTTCAGATAAATTTTTGTTTTTCAAATAATTTTAACTGGTATAATTAAGATGGCTTAGACTTTAGTATGTCATAGTTATTGAAGACTGATTGATTGATTGTTGGTGTTTAATGCTAATTTCAGCACTATTGGTTCTTTTGTTGTGCGCAGCTCTGAATGGTGGAACAAGCTGTGTTGCATTACCGTCCCCTTAAATGGACTCGAAAAGTCTGGATTACCATATTTCTATTGTTGTATAATGCTACTTTCAGCACTGTTGGTTCTTTTGTTGTGCCCAGCTCTGAATGGTGGATGGAGCCAGAGTGCACTGAGGGAACAATGACCTTAGGAAGGAAACAGTGGCAGATATTTCTGCACTCAAAAATGGACTGGAGAAGTCCCGATTACCATAATGCTACTTTCAGCACTATTGGTTCTATAGTCGTGCCAACTCTTAATGGTCCCCTTAAATGGACTGGAGAAGTCTTGATTACCATATTTTAGCACTAATTTAGTTCTTTTGCTGTGCTCAGCTCTGAATGGCGGAAGAAGCTGTGTTGCATTACCGTCTCCTTAAATGGACTGGAGAAGTCCAGATTACAATATTTCTATTGCCCAGTAATCCTTGTGGTAAATGAACTATATTTTCAAAATTAAAGATTAAAAGGTTTCCAGATCTATTTTGTTTTTCTAATATGGCAAATCTAATAATAAATTTAATTCAAATTTTGAATAACTCAAATGTTTACATTACACAAACTTTCTGCAGTATCAGATACATTTTTTTCCATAGTTTTTTTTTTTTTTTTTTCTTTTTTCTTAAATATACTGCAGCGCCAACAAAAGATGTGCAATGTAAAGAAATGAGTTATTGTTTGAAACATCAAAAATGTTAAAGTTTCGGGCAATTTTTTTATTTGAATTTTCAGATCTCGAGACAATTTTTATTAAGAATGCATGATCAAGTTCAGATAAATTTTTGTTTTTCAAATAATTTTAACTGGTATAATTAAGATGGCTTAGACTTTAGTATGTCATAGTTATTGAAGACTGATTGATTGATTGTTGGTGTTTAATGCTAATTTCAGCACTATTGGTTCTTTTGTTGTGCGCAGCTCTGAATGGTGGAACAAGCTGTGTTGCATTACCGTCCCCTTAAATGGACTCGAAAAGTCTGGATTACCATATTTCTATTGTTGTATAATGCTACTTTCAGCACTATTGGTTCTTTTGTCGTGCCCAGCTCTGAATGGTGGATGGAGCCAGAGTGCACGGAGGGAACAATGACCTTAGGAAGGAAACAGTGGCAGATATTTCTGCACTCAAAAATGGACTGGAGAAGTCCCGATTACCATAATGCTACTTTCAGCACTATTGGTTCTATAGTCGTGCCAACTCTTAATGGTCCCCTTAAATGGACTGGAGAAGTCTTGATTACCATATTTTAGCACTAATTTAGTTCTTTTGCTGTGCTCAGCTCTGAATGGCGGAAGAAGCTGTGTTGCATTACCGTCTCCTTAAATGGACTGGAGAAGTCCAGATTACAATATTTCTATTGCCCAGTAATCCTTGTGGTAAATGAACTATATTTTCAAAATTAAAGATTAAAAGGTTTCCAGATCTATTTTGTTTTTCTAATATGGCAAATCTAATAATAAATTTAATTCAAATTTTGAATAACTCAAATGTTTACATTACACAAACTTTCTGCAGTATCAGATACATTTTTTTCCATACTTTTTTTTTTTTTTTTTTCTTTTTTCTTATATATACTGCAGCGCCAACAAAAGATGTGCAATGTAAAGACATGAGTTATTGTTTGAAACATCAAAAATGTTAAAAGTTTCGGGCAATTTTTTTATTTGAATTTTCAGATCTCGAGACAATTTTTATTAAGAATGCATGATCAAGTTCAGATAAATTTTTGTTTTTCAAATAATTTTAACTGGTATAATTAAGATGGCTTAGACTTTAGTATGTCATAGTTATTGAAGGCCGATTGATTGATTGTTGGTGTTAAATGCTAAATTCAGCACTTTTGGTTCTTTTGTTGTGCGCAGCTCTGAATGGTGGAACAAGCTGTGTTGCATTACCGTCCCCTTAAATGGACTGGAAAAGTCTGGATTACCATATTTCTATTGCTGTATAATGCTACTTTCAGCACTATTGGTTCTTTTGTCATGCCCAGCTCTGAATGGTGGATGGAGCCAGAGTGCACGGAGGGAACAATGACCTTAGGAAAGAAACAGTGGCAGATATTTCTGCACTCAAAAATGGACTGGAGAAGTCCCGATTACCATAATGCTACTTTCAGCACTATTGGTTCTATAGTCGTGCCAACTCTTAATGGTCCCCTTAAATGGACTGGAGAAGTCTTGATTACCATATTTTAGCACCAATTTAGTTCTTTTGCTGTGCTCAGTTCTGAATGGCGGAAGAAGCTGTGTTGCATTACCGTCTCCTTAAATGGACTGGAGAAGTCCAGATTAGAATATTTCTATTGCCCAGTAATCCTTGTGGTAAATGAACTATATTTTCAAAATTAAAGATTAAAAGGTTTCGAGATCTATTTTGTTTTTCTAATATGGCAAATCTAATAATAAATTAATTTCAAATTTTGAATAACTCAAATGTTTACATTACACAAACTTTCTGCAGTTTCAGATACATTTTTTTCCATACTTTTTTTTTTTTTTTTTTCTTTTTTCTTAAATATACTGCAGCGCCAACAAAAGATGTGCAATGTAAAGACATGAGTTATTGTTTGAAACATCAAAAATGTTAAAAGTTTCGGGCAATTTTTTTATTTGAATTTTCAGATCTCGAGACAATTTTTATTAAGAATGCATGATCAAGTTCAGATAAATTTTTGTTTTTCAAATAATTTTAACTGGTATAATTAAGATGGCTTAGACTTTAGTATGTCATAGTTATTGAAGACCGATTGATTGATTGTTGGTGTTAAATGCTAATTTCAGCACTATTGGTTCTTTTGTTGTGCGCAGCTCTGAATGGTGGAACAAGCTGTGTTGCATTACCGTCCCCTTAAATGGACTGGAAAAGTCTGGATTACCATATTTCTATTGCTGTATAATGCTACTTTCAGCACTATTGGTTCTTTTGTCATGCCCAGCTCTGAATGGTGGATGGAGCCAGAGTGCACGGAGGGAACAATGACCTTAGGAAGGAAACAGTGGCAGATATTTCTGCACTCAAAAATGGACTGGAGAAGTCCCGATTACCATAATGCTACTTTCAGCACTATTGGTTCTATAGTCGAGCCAACTCTTAATGGTCCCCTTAAATGGGCTGGAGAAGTCTTGATTACCATATTTTAGCACTAATTTAGTTCTTTTGCTGTGCTCAGCTCTGAATGGCGGAAGAAGCTGTGTTGCATTACCGTCTCCTTAAATGGACTGGAGAAGTCCAGATTACAATATTTCTATTGCCCAGTAATCCTTGTGGTAAATGAACTATATTTTCAAAATTAAAGATTAAAAGGTTTCCAGATCTATTTTGTTTTTCTAATATGGCAAATCTAATAATAAATTTAATTCAAATTTTGAATAACTCAAATGTTTACATTACACAAACTTTCTGCAGTATCAGATACATTTTTTTCCATACTTTTTTTTTTTTTTTTTTTTCTTTTTTCTTAAATATACTGCAGCGCCAACAAAAGATGTGCAATGTAAAGAAATGAGTTATTGTTTGAAACATCAAAAATGTTAAAGTTTCGGGCAATTTTTTTATTTGAATTTTCAGATCTCGAGACAATTTTTATTAAGAATGCATGATCAAGTTCAGATAAATTTTTGTTTTTCAAATAATTTTAACTGGTATAATTAAGATGGCTTAGACTTTAGTATGTCATAGTTATTGAAGACTGATTGATTGATTGTTGGTGTTTAATGCTAATTTCAGCACTATTGGTTCTTTTGTTGTGCGCAGCTCTGAATGGTGGAACAAGCTGTGTTGCATTACCGTCCCCTTAAATGGACTGGAAAAGTCTGGATTACCATATTTCTATTGTTGTATAATGCTACTTTCAGCACTATTGGTTCTTTTGTCGTGCCCAGCTCTGAATGGTGGATGGAGCCAGAGTGCACGGAGGGAACAATGACCTTAGGAAGGAAACAGTGGCAGATATTTCTGCACTCAAAAATGGACTGGAGAAGTCCCGATTACCATAATGCTACTTTCAGCACTATTGGTTCTATAGTCGTGCCAACTCTTAATGGTCCCCTTAAATGGACTGGAGGTCTTGATTACCATATTTTAGCACTAATTTAGTTCTTTTGCTGTGCTCAGCTCTGAATGGCGGAAGAAGCTGTGTTGCATTACCGTCTCCTTAAATGGACTGGAGAAGTCCAGATTACAATATTTCTATTGCCCAGTAATCCTTGTGGTAAATGAACTATATTTTCAAAATTAAAGATTAAAAGGTTTCCAGATCTATTTTGTTTTTCTAATATGGCAAATCTAATAATAAATTTAATTCAAATTTTGAATAACTCAAATGTTTACATTACACAAACTTTCTGCAGTATCAGATACATTTTTTTCCATACTTTTTTTTTTTTTTTTTTTCTTTTTTCTTAAATATACTGCAGCGCCAACAAAAGATGTGCAATGTAAAGAAATGAGTTATTGTTTGAAACATCAAAAATGTTAAAGTTTCGGGCAATTTTTTTATTTGAATTTTCAGATCTCGAGACAATTTTTATTAAGAATGCATGATCAAGTTCAGATAAATTTTTGTTTTTCAAATAATTTTAACTGGTATAATTAAGATGGCTTAGACTTTAGTATGTCATAGTTATTGAAGACTGATTGATTGATTGTTGGTGTTTAATGCTAATTTCAGCACTGTTGGTTCTTTTGTTGTGCGCAGCTCTGAATGGTGGAACAAGCTGTGTTGCATTACCGTCCCCTTAAATGGACTCGAAAAGTCTGGATTACCATATTTCTATTGTTGTATAATGCTACTTTCAGCACTATTGGTTCTTTTGTCGTGCCCAGCTCTGAATGGTGGATGGAGCCAGAGTGCACGGAGGGAACAATGACCTTAGCAAGGAAACAGTGGCAGATATTTCTGCACTCAAAAATGGACTGGAGAAGTCCCGATTACCATAATGCTACTTTCAGCACTATTGGTTCTATAGTCGTGCCAACTCTTAATGGTCCCCTTAAATGGACTGGAGAAGTCTTGATTACCATATTTTAGCACTAATTTAGTTCTTTTGCTGTGCTCAGTTCTGAATGGCGGAAGAAGCTGTGTTGCATTACCGTCTCCTTAAATGGACTGGAGAAGTCCAGATTACAATATTTCTATTGCCCAGTAATCCTTGTGGTAAATGAACTATATTTTCAAAATTAAAGATTAAAAGGTTTCGAGATCTATTTTGTTTTTCTAATATGGCAAATCTAATAATAAATTAATTTCAAATTTTGAATAACTCAAATGTTTACATTACACAAACTTTCTGCAGTATCAGATACATATTTTTCCATACTTTTTTCTTAAATATACTGCAGCGCCAACAAAAGATGTGCAATGTAAAGACATGAGTTATTGTTTGAAACATCAAAAATGTTAAAAGTTTCGGGCAATTTTTTTATTTGAATTTTCAGATCTCGAGACAATTTTTATTAAGAATGCATGATCAAGTTCAGATAAATTTTTGTTTTTCAAATAATTTTAACTGGTATAATTAAGATTGCTTAGACTTTAGTATGTCATAGTTATTGAAGACCGATTAATTGATTGTTGGTGTTAAATGCTAATTTCAGCACTATTGGTTCTTTTGTTGTGCGCAGCTCTGAATGGTGGAACAAGCTGTGTTGCATTACCGTCCCCTTAAATGGACTGGAAAAGTCTGGATTACCATATTTCTATTGCTGTATAATGCTACTTTCAGCACTATTGGTTCTTTTGTCATGCCCAGCTCTGAATGGTGGATGGAGCCAGAGTGCACGGAGGGAACAATGACCTTAGGAAGGAAACAGTGGCAGATATTTCTGCACTCAAAAATGGACTGGAGAAGTCCCGATTACCATAATGCTACTTTCAGCACTATTGGTTCTATAGTCGTGCCAACTCTTAATGGTCCCCTTAAATGGACTGGAGAAGTCTTGATTACCATATTTTAGCACTAATTTAGTTCTTTTGCTGTGCTCAGTTCTAAATGGCGGAAGGAGCTGTGTTGCATTATCGTCTCCTTAAATGGACTGGAGAAGTCAAGATTACAATATTTCTATTGCCCAGTAATCCTTGTGGTAAATGAACTATATTTTCAAAATTAAAGATTAAAAGGTTTCGAGATCTATTTTGTTTTTCTAATATGGCAAATCTAATAATAAATTAATTTCAAATTTTGAATAACTCAAATGTTTACATTACACAAACTTTCTGCAGTATCAGATACATTTTTTTCCATACTTTTTTTTTTTTTTTTTTCTTTTTTCTTATATATACTGCAGCGCCAACAAAAGATGTGCAATGTAAAGATATGAGTTATTGTTTGAAACATCAAAAATGTTAAAAGTTTCGGGCAATTTTTTTATTTGAATTTTCAAATCTCTAGACAATTTTTATTAAGAATGCATGATCAAGTTCAGATAAATTTTTGTTTTTCAAATAATTTTAACTGGTATAATTAAGATGGCTTAGACTTTAGTATGTCATAGTTATTGAAGACTGATTGATTGATTGTTGGTGTTTAATGCTAATTTCAGCACTATTGGTTCTTTTGTTGTGCGCAGCTCTGAATGGTGGAACAAGCTGTGTTGCATTACCGTCCCCTTAAATGGACTGGAAAAGTCTGGATTACCATATTTCTATTGCTGTATAATGCTACTTTCAGCACTATTGGTTCTTTTGTCATGCCCAGCTCTGAATGGTGGATGGAGCCAGAGTGCACGGAGGGAACAATGACCTTAGGAAGGAAACAGTGGCAGATATTTCTGCACTCAAAAATGGACTGGAGAAGTCCCGATTACCATAATGCTACTTTCAGCACTATTGGTTCTATAGTCGTGCCAACTCTTAATGGTCCCCTTAAATGGACTGGAGAAGTCTTGATTACCATATTTTAGCACTAATTTAGTTCTTTTGCTGTGCTCAGCTCTGAATGGCGGAAGAAGCTGTGTTGCATTACCGTCTCCTTAAATGGACTGGAGAAGTCCAGATTACAATATTTCTATTGCCCAGTAATCCTTGTGGTAAATGAACTATATTTTCAAAATTAAAGATTAAAAGGTTTCCAGATCTATTTTGTTTTTCTAATATGGCAAATCTAATAATAAATTTAATTCAAATTTTGAATAACTCAAATGTTTACATTACACAAACTTTCTGCAGTATCAGATACACTTTTTTCCATACCTTTTTTTCTGCTTTTTTCTTAAATATACTGCAGTGCCAACAAAGGATGTGCAATGTAAAGAAATGAGTTATTGTTTGAAACATCAAAAATGTTAAAGTTTCTGGCAATTTTTTTATTTGAACTACAATTTTCAGATCTCAGGACAATTTTTATTAAGAATGCATGATCAAGTTCAGATAAATTTTTGTTTTTCAAATAATTTTAACAGGTATAATTAAGACGGCTTAGACTTTAGTATGTCCTAGTTTTTGAAGACTGATTGATTGATTGTTGGTGTTTAATGCTACTTTCAGCACTATTGGTTTCAATGAATATCAAATACATTGACTGATTGATTGTTGGTGTTTAATGCTACTTTCATTATTATTGGTTCCATTGTTGTGCCCAGCTCTAAATGGTGGAAGAAGGTAAAGCACGGAGGGAACGACGGTTGTAAGGAAACAGTGGTAGATATAACCACACCCTAATATGGACTGGAGAAGTCAAGATTACCATAATGCTACTTTTAGCACTATTGGTTCTATTGTCGTGCCTAGCTCTTAATGGTTGAAGAAGCTGTATTGCATTACTGTCCTCTTAAATGGACTGGAGAAGTCTAGAGTACCATATTTCTATTGCTGTTTAATGCTGGTTCTTTTGTTGTGTGCAGCCCTGAATGGTGGAAGAAGCTGTGTTGCATTACCGTCCCCTTAAATAGACTGGAGAAGTCTAGAGTACCATATTTTTATTGCTGTTTAATGCTACTTTCAGCACTATTTGTTCTTTTGTTGTGCCCAGCTCTGAATGGTGGATGGAGCCAGAGAACATGGAGGGAACGGCCTTAAGAAGGAAACAGTGGCAGATATTTCTGAATCCTAAAATGGACTGGAAAAGTCCAGATTATTATAATGATACCGTCAGCACCATTGGTTCTATTGTCGTGCCCAACTCTTAATGGTGGAAGAAGCTGTATTGGATTACCGTCCCCTTAAATGTTCTGGAGAAGTCTAGATTACCATATTTCTATTGCTATTTAATGCTACGTTCAGCATTATTGGTTCTTTTGTTGTGCCCAGCTCTGAAAGGTGGAAGAAGCAGTGTTGCATTACCGTCCTCTTAAATGGACTGGATAAGTTTAGATTACAATATTTCTATTGCTGTTTAATGCTACTTTCAGCAATATTGGTTCCTTTGTTGTGCACAGCTCCGGATGGTGGATTGAGCCAAAGTACATGGAGGGAACAATGACCTTGACCTTAGTAAGGAAACAGTGGCAGGTATGACTGCACTTCAAAATGGACTGGAGAAGTCCAGATTACCATAATGTTACTTTCAGCACTATTAGTTCTATTGCCATGTCCAGCTCTGGATGCAGCCAGAGTACACAGAGGGAACAACCATCTTAGGAAGGAAACAGTGGCAAATATAACCGCACCCTAAAATGGACTGGAGAAGTCCAGATTACCATAATGCTACTTTCAGCACAATTGGTTCTATTGATGTGCCAAACTCTTAATGGTGGAAGAAGCTGTATTGCATTACCTTCCCCTTTAATGGACTGGAGAAGTCTAGATTACCTTATTTCGATTGCTGTTTAACGCTACTTTCAGCACTATTGGTTCTTTTTTTCTGCGCAGCTCTAAATGGTTGATAGAGCCAAGGTACCACCAACCTTTTGGCAGAAAACAATGGCAGATATTACCGCACCTTTAAATAGGCTGGAGAAGTACAGATTACAATAAATCAATTGCTGTTAAATGCTACTTTCAGCACTATTGGTTCTATTGTCGTGCCCAGCTTTTAATAATGGAATTAGCTGTATTGCATTCCCGTGCCCTAAAATGTACTGGAAAAGTCCAGATTACCATTAAGCTTCTTTCAGCGCTATTGGTTCTATTGTCTTTCCCAGCTCTTAATGGTGGAAGAAGCTTTATTGCATTACCCTCCTCTGAAATGGACTGAAGGTCTAGATTACCTTATTTCTAATGCTGTTTAATGCTACTTTCAGCACTATTGGTTCTACTAGTGCGCAGCTCAAAATGGTGGATGGTGCAAGAGTACATGGAGGGAACGACGACCCCAGGAAGGAAACAGTGGCAGATATTACCGCACCCTAAAATGGACTAGAGAAGTACAAATTTCCATATTTCTATTGTTGTTTAATGCTAATTTCAGCACTATTGGTTCTATTGTCATGCCCAGCTCTGAATGGTGGATTGAGCCAGAATGCACGAAGAGAACAACAGCCTTAGGAAGGAAAGAGTTGCAGACATCACTGCACCCTAAAATGGACTAGAGAAGTCCAGATTACCATAATGCTACTTTCAGCACTATTGGTTCTGTTGCCTTGCCCAGCTCTGGATGGTGGATGGAGCCAGAGAACACAGAGGGAAGAACGACCTTAGGAAGGAAAAAGTGGCAGATATTACTGCACCCTAAAATGGACTGGAGAAGTCCCGATTACCATAATGCTACTTTCAGCACTACTGGTTCTATTGTTGTGCCCAGCTCTTAATGGTGGAAGAAGGTGTATTACCTCGTTCTTAAATGGAATCTAAAATCCTTTTTTGGAAAATATCAAGGCAATCTCAAGTCAAGTAGTGTAAGATGGTTTGTTGAGCTAGTTGCTCTAATTTTACTTTAAAAAAAATTGGTAGGGCAACCAGGGATTTTTTTTTAATTCCTAGCACTATAAAACATAATTTTTTTTTAAATTGGAAGCATTGTATGACTTAAAGTGAGCAAGCGCAGTACATTCCAACCCATAATAATGGCCAAAGCTTATAATGACCTGATGGCATAGTTTTTCCTGTTTACTTTAAAATATGATCATATTTTCTACAATAAAATATATAGCAAAGTACTAAAATCCCCAACATAGTATTTTGAAAAATTTACAGGTATGAACACTACTTGTAAAACTAAAAATTGAGCAATTTAACACATTGAATCCCAACAAAGTAAAATTGGAGGTGATGAATAAAGGTGCTGATGTATAAATGGGTAGCAGTATTCATAGAGACTGTGTTTTAAGACTAGTTAGAACACTAATTCTGTCTCACGATATCTAGTGCCATGATTTACAGTTATTCAATTT